GTGTGGTACCTATCAATTCTAGAGGTGAGAAGCAACGCATGCATTTAAGAGATGGTTTTTTGGCCGATCAACTCGACCCAATATATGTAGCATATAATATGTAAAATAATGTGAAAGATAAACTAGCATTGTGATAAAATTGAGGAATACTTATTTCGAAATGTGCTGAAATCAAATATAATCAAAAGTGGATAATGGCAGGAGTAGAGTGATGAAGTTGAAATTAATGTAAAAGTAAATACACAAATAAATTCAATAAAATCTTAAATTATTAGTAGATAAGAATTGATTTATATATATACTTGCATATATATGACTATGTATATATTTATTTCTTTAGTTTATAAATGTACACATGAGCACACACATATGCAAGTATATAAGTATTTACATATTTACACAGATAATAAATATTTTCTTTGTAAATTTACTATTTATTAGCCAAACAATAACTGAAATATTTAATGAGAATGCCAAATGTGTATTGAATACCTGTTTATTATTAAATTGTGTAATTTAAGGCTACTTATGTAAACTATTACATAAAATAATATTATTTAGAGCTTAAATTGATAAACTATGCATTTCCTTAGTTACACTTTATTTCAGAATTACACTTTTCATTATTATTTTGAGAAATGAATAGTAATATTTAATTTGTCATTTATTATGTGGGTGAATATGCAAAAAGTATATATATGGATGAATTTATTTGATAAATTAAATTAACGATGATCATATAACTGCCATTGAAATATTTTCAAATTATATTTTGTAGCCAATAATATTAATACAATTTTCATGAAATTAAATAGGGTTTGCTAAGTATAGTCGATCAATTTATATAAATCGCAATGCATTTACGATACTACCAAAAAACTTATTTGTATGAAATCGCACAACCTTAAATCAAGTACTAATTGTTTCACATCTTATTCATGTTGAGGATAAATATTACATTTGACTTTTTACTCTTCTGAATGAACTCTATTTGTTCTCTTGTGTCATATTAATATATTATCATACAATCTGTAATATGATTTAATTTTTCTAATATCGCAGACATGCACAGAAATATTTTTGTGATTGATAATTTCTGAGTTCCAACTACTAAGCATAATTCTTATTATAATAATAAATGCTCATACGGAAATCGCTAAGTGTGTTAAAGTACACGTGTATCTAATTATTATTAGCTTTTGGATAAACAATTTGTCGAATCTTAAAATATCTCTGTGACTGAAAGTGAAAAAAATCACCAAAAGAGTATTCAGTCTAATATTTAGACTAAATTGAAGCTCATGTTATTATTTTGGATTAAACATAGATGAGCGACTTTTAATAAAGCTCAATAAATGAACTATTCTAAGATTAGGTATAACAATTATGAACTTTATAACTAATATTTATTGTTACATATATACATAATGAATTAATAATTTAACAATAAGAACTTTATTATATACTAGTGCTGAATTGTATGCTGGTTTTGCAAGGGTATTACAATTGTGAATAAAAGATACATAATTATCAATATCATAATAGAGAATACTTCCGTGTGTATATAAGAATTCTTTTAATTAATGTGGCCTATGTTTGAATTTGGATGCAAGAGATATTTGTATTATTTTATTGAACAGTACTTGTAGTTCATTTCTAAAATAATATTCAATTTTAAATTCATAAAATAGTAACATGACTCAAACAATATAGTTTTCCTTTAAAAATTTTGACTTTCTTTGAATGTTTTTAATACAAAGTTCTTTCCTCTAAGATTAATTTTTTGAAATAAGATATAGACTAGCAATTGCTACACATTTGCAAATGTCATGAATTGCAATGCAATATTTAAAAATTAAATGATATTTAAAATTTAACAATGGAATATTTATGTAAATATTATTTAGTATCTATTGTTTTTTTTATTATACCTTGCTACTTGATAATGATTATGTTCATAAAAACTTATTATTATAGTTAAGTGATATATTATGTGATATAAGCAATCACATCTGAAACGTATCTCATAATGCAATGTCAATGTGTAGTTACATTGGTAAAGCAAAATTGTCTGATTTACAATGTATTTATAATAATAACGTTTTAACAGATATCGTGCAATTATATGTATCTTAATGAATTAAATTTATTTAGTTCTGTGCAATAACCTATTCACTTTATGCAGTATTTAATTGCACAATTGTTATTGTAAACATCACCTACATTATTTTATATCTAAGTTTTTATAATAATGTTTTGTATTTTATCAAAAGTATGATTTTAATTTTATATGGAAAAGTCTTATATTTATTGACGTTGTTCTAACATATTGCTAGTTATCGATATTATTTTTCATCTAAATCTAATGATTAACGAGTTGTTTAAATTAATTACTTTTTAAAATTTAAATCAAACTTTTGTTAAATGTGGTTGTATAAAATATTATAAATATTTACTTATTCTTTTTTAAATTACCTTGTATATATTTCAACAGTATAGACAATAAATTTTCACTTAAAATAAATTTTCATTATCATTATCGTGTTGCAAATAATATTTAAAATTTGCACATGCTCCAATAAAGTATGAATTCAATTTATTTAAATATAATTGTTAGTTAAGCCATTAATATATTATGTATTAATTGAATATATTTTAATTGATCATCAGTTAGTGTTATTCAAAACTACTCTGTGTATGAAATTGGATGTGGCAATAAAAAGCACATCACATGATATGATCTTTCAAATTTGTAAATATCTGAATCTTTATTTGCAATATATGTTTAATGATGAATAAATAAACAAAAATCTTCAAAATTTGTTTTCATTTACTATATGTATTTAGCAAACTTTTATTGATAATAATATGCTTTTTTTAAAAACATTTTACTCAATTTGAAAATGAAGATTGAAAATGATATCAAATTAAACCAAACCTGACATAAAGTCACATACATACATATTTTTTCTTTCAATATTTCATGTCAAAAAGTCATGGATATATACATTACATTCTATGAATACATTAAATTCTAATTTTGCTTTATTAATTCTAATAATTCTAATTTAGGAATATCCATGGATATCCGCGGATTTTCATTCAAATCAAACTGACGTGAAGCAAGACGCTTGCAGCGCCTCTATGCAATATCTTTCCCAGTTCGTCGGGAACTACGTAGTGACTACCGGGTTCATATGATTCTGTGTTAGATGTCGCCACCGACCTAAAAGTCAAACGATTGACAGTTATTCAATGGCAAGTCAATATAAAGTAAAACTGTATCTACAAACGGTATCAATTTTAATATTATATCAAGTAAAAACCATGAAAAGTTTTTTTTAACAAATTTTTATCAATTTGAATATTTGTGTAATTGTTCAAATTGATTTTTTCATCATTATATATGGCCTAACTGCCTAACACAGTTTGGAAATAATCGTTTGACAGTTCTGCGTTTACAAGTGTATATAAATGTATTTATGTTATATGCTTGATATTAGTTCTTATTTTTATGATAATTATTTAAAACAAACTTCTATAATTAAATCGTTTCTATGTTATAATTACCAGAGTTTAATTATCAAGAAAAAATTATAGTATCTAGCTGTGGAAATGATTATAAAATATTTTTTCTTCCAATAAAAGTATATTCTATTTATAGGTGATCACAACGTGTAAGAAAACAAGAAACCTAATCATAAAAAACTAAATTATATATATATGAGTAATGTATTATGTAGTGACATACCATTTTGTTCTAATTAACAGTTATCCTAAAAATAGCGACTGCATACAGAAACAAACAGAAAAACAGGAATAATTAATAGAAGATTATTAGGTTCGAGTAAGTTTTGTCACATTTTGTAAACTTTTTATTATAAAATAATTTATATGTTTGTTGAATACTGTTTTATCGGATCTCCCATATCCAACTATCATATTAATCAATGTATTTAATTATTAAATTGACAATCGAACAGAATATAATAATATGTCAAAGTAGTATTGATATCTCAATTAAGATTAAATTGTTAAAGTTTTTGTTGTAGTTGAGTGCTTTAAGTAATTCTAGTTTTGAATGATTTGTAGTGCCAGTTCATAATAAAGAGAGAATAATGGAGAAACATATTGAATACAAAAAAAATATAATCGATTAAAGCGGTTTATAAAAGCCTATTACATGGCCTTTATTGTAAGCCTAAAAATTTTTTTTGGCAAAATAATATATTATATTAATGGTAAAAATTTTTTAGCCATGAAATGCTGCTGCTGAATGATAATTGAATCCTACACTATTAAACTATACAAAGCACAATTCGAGTTCACCAAAATGCCAAAATCACAAATGGAGCAAATTTGTAGTAAGTTTTAATAAACAAAGTTTTCAATTTATTAATTAATAACTTATATACATTAATAACTTAAGTAAACACAAAAAAAAAAAAAAAAAAAACTTAAGTAAACACATAATAATTAATCAAGAAATAGAAAAATAGAAAAATAATTAATCATGCTCATGATTATTTCTTCATAATAAAAATATTTGAAAAAAATATTTATAACTTTTATCATTTTTATACCTATTTTAATCGTTTAAGAGACATTATTAAATTTGTATAAGATACAACTTACTATTCTAGCTAACAATATGATTAGTATGAATAATATCAAATACAGTTTAGAAAATAATAGCATTTATTACTTTAATAAATAGTTTTATTAAAAACAATTTAACAACTATCTACCAAACTGGATACAAGAACAATTACAAAACAAATATTCAAAAAGTATATAACTTATTAAGTTTATTTAAAGAATATTTTAACTAATAAAACACGAAATATAAATTAAAGTTGATAATATAATTTTTCTTAAGTCAAAGTAAATTTGAATTTGAAGATAGAATAATATAAGTGAAGTTGATGTTTTTGGGCGCAGTGCTGCCAACTCGGTAATTTAAATGTGAGCTGTCACGTATAGCTAGTGCCGTCCTCTTACTGCTTTTCATTCCGTTTTCTTGCATTTCAATAAGTTGGTCGTGCTTTTTAATCTTTATCTTGAATGTTTCGATATTAAACCTCGTGTTTTTATTTTTTCTTGACTTGTAGTATTTATAGTGAGTTTTAATTCTTATAAAATCAGCATTGATATAGTGAGTGATTCAAGTAATAAAATTATGTCAAATTATAATATTTTTTGAGGTTATGCTTTCTTCAAGACGATAAATAAATTGCTTGAACAATTTAATAATGCTTGAAAATGTCTGTAGGATTAGATGATATGACCTGGAAACTTATTCCATTGAACAAACAAAGGTTTGCTAATTATAAGACATAATAAGGGCATTTTCATTGAATGGTATTTTAAATGCAATCTATAGCAATTTCCTTTATCTTCAGTGCTTTTAAAATTAAAGACTTTCTAGGCACAAGTTCTGTTTTTACTTAATTATCGTTTTTGATATTACATTTTTTTTCAAATTTTAATTTTTCAAAAATGTTGTTTTTTCCTTTATACATTTAGAATTATTGACTTCTGCGATCTTAACTTCTGCAAGGGGTATAAGGGTTGTGCTTTTTGTTTTTCGACAACCATATAATTCATATTTGATAGATTCTTTTATAATTGACATGACATGTTGGGTCAACTTCTCTTCTAAAAATTTGACCTTGTTTATTTTATATAGTTGCATTACATTATATATCTACTGAGAAATACTTTTTATAGTTCTATATTTGGATTAGGCTTTTAAGTTGTTTCTCTTTTATAATTAAGATAAACTTGTTTGGCAATCTTTTTAAAATTTAACCCTGACTTTTATGCAGTCAGATTACATTATTTGTTTACTGCGAAATATTTTATAGACTTACATTTCAACTTGGCTTTTAATTAGTTTCTTATTTTCTTTAACTTCATTTGCATGTAATAAATTTTCTTGTTTTAGGATGAAAACTTACTTAAAATCTAGTGCTTCAAAAGTAAGTAAACTTAGCTTAGATGATGTAAATGATTCTGAAAGTTCAGATGATAATCTACCAGAAAGTATTTTAGCTGATCATACTGAACTTTCTAGTGACAACTCTGACTTGGATGTTAATACTAATAATGAATGTAGTGGGCTACTAGATGACGCTTCTGTTAAAAGTGAACCTTTAAGCGAGGAAGAAAATAATTTAAGTGACTCACATAATTTATCTTATTCGACTAAATATAGTAAGCGTAAATCTACAGAAGAAATGAAAACTAAGACCAAAATCAAACCTTGTACTGTGGAGGAGTACAATGAATTTTTAGTTTTAGAAAAAAAAAGAAATGATTCAAGTTTGAATATGAGTCTGAACAATCATGACGAAGTGAATAATTCAGTTGAAAAGGTTAAGAAAAAGAAGAAGAAGAAAAAATCAGAAGATACACTTGTAGAAAGTTCTTTCAATGCAGGCTCACAGATCAATTTTGAAGAATCGCTCACAAAGAAAAAGAAGCATAGTAAAGATAACTTATCTTCAAGTATTGAAAACGATTCTGTAGAATCAACCAATGAATTCTCTAAATATGGAGCAGTAAGTGAAAATAATGGTAAAAGCAAAAGTAAAAACCATAAATTAAAAAAATCTAGGGACAATGCAGATAATATTAGTGATGAAGTTTCATCTTTATCATTCAATGAAGCAAATAGATCTAAAGATAAGAAAAAATCTAATAAAAATAAATTAAAACCATCTATAATAAATGATGATGGTGAATCATCAATTACAAAACTAAGCCAAGATCGAGCGAAACCAAGAACAAAAAAAACAGAATATTATTCAGATGATTCAGGAGATGATGTCATAGAATCTAATTCAAAAAATGAATCAAACTCGATTGTTCTTAATCAATCTTCAAAGAAAAACTATTTGAATAAATCTAAAGCAAATGATGATAGTGAAAGTGATGATGAAATTCTGAACAAGAAATATAGTTTTCAATTTAATCGATCATATGAGCTAAATATGGATGAAGAACCTGCTATTAGTCAAACTTTATCTCCTAAAAAATCATTAGATAATAAAAACATTCTCAAAGCAAAACCACTAAACAAAAATTTGCACTTGAAGAAAATTCATAGTCAAGAAACTGATTTAATGCCATCTCCAATTGTTCCAAAATTAGGTTTATTTAATAATGTTGTTAATTCAACAGCTTTAGATATCAGTAATATGCCTGATACATCGTTCCCAAATATATCACAAATACAAGTGAGTGATAAAACTTTTAAAGGGAAAGTTGTTGATTTAACTGATAAAGATTCTACAGAACCAGAGAGTGGATTAATAAAACAATATGTTGAACAAAATGAAAATATCAAAAGAAAAGTAATCACAAATAATATCAAATTTGATGGAGATACTAGCGATGAAGAAGTTTATATAGTACAATGCCCAAGAAACATCAATCCAGCCTTATTAATAGATCAAAACATATATAATTCGTCTTTTCAGTATGATGGCACTGCTTACTCATTATCAAGAATCCCAAATCCAGTCAAACAAGTATTTGTGTTTGTTCCAGGACATAGTTCAATTAAGTCTTATCCCTTAGTTGGAAATATTGTTATACAATCAGAAATAAAAGCAGCATCTGCTAGAGACATAAAAAAAACAATTCCTACACGAGTAGAATTTCCTGAAAATTTGAAAGTCCGACATCCACTGTTTGGCAAAAAATATAAAAAGAAAATTTTTGTTCAACCTCATGTGATGGAAGAATTAGTTTGTAAAAAGAAGCCTAAGAAACATAAAAAGAAAGTAAATGTTGATTTAGAAACTGACAATATTGAATCACAGTCTACAAAGAAAAGAAGAAAATCTGAATCTATTGAAGACCATATTCCTAAAAAGAAAATAAAGAAAGAAAAGAAACAAGAGAGTTTATGGAATTCAAATGACGATATAGAAAGAAATTTATTTAATTTGTGAATACAGGCATGTTATGTATTAATAAGTTATTTTTTAAATTGTTATTCAAACAGATTATATACATATTTTCTTATGTAAGAGACAAAATACCACAAAATACTGGACATTACTTACATGTTTGTATTGTATTGAGAAATGCATTTGTTATTTTTAATATACTTGTATGATTTTACAATAATTTATTATATTTGATACATATAGTTATATTTACTAAGAGTCTATTTATAAAGGGATCGACAGAATCTAGCAATGTCTTCTCTCTGTTATCTGTGCTGTAAGTTACACAAGCTTAATCATACTTCTTATTTTTTCATTTTGAATTCACATGTATTATTGGATTATTTTTATAGTTGCCTAAGGAGATTCAAACAAATGGTATAGACATGCCTAGTGAACATCACAATTTAGATTTGTTGAATTTTGAATCATTTTCAAAGTATTGCGAGACATATTTCACAACATCTTCAGCACAACCCCAACTCAAGGTAACACCGCTTCCTCCATGACCATAATTGTGTATCACTGGTATGCCATTTATTTTTTCTAGTTCCAAACGAACCTATAAGCAAAAAAAAAATTGGGTACGATATCTGAATAACAGAACGAATGGAACATGCATTAAGAGAGATGATTTTTCAGCAATTTAATAAATGTTCTTAGCAGTATACATTTGAGATTTTTTGAATTCATTTGAATGTTGAATTTATTTGAGCATTTTATTTTTCTAATGAAAAACATTATTCAATGTTTCAATGTAAATTTCTGTTTGTTTTTAGAGTTTATAGCGTTTATGTTCGATCTTATCAGTTACAGTGAAACAAATTGTGAAATTATAATAGCAATAGAAGTATAATGAAAATTGTTACTACCTCATATCGTCCAGGTCGGAGTCCTACCCATTCTTTAATCATTCTGGCTTTCTGAAATGAGAATGCAACATTGATAAAGTAGGTTCGCATAAGTGTAATAAAATTTTATATATATATATATATATATATGTTAAAGTAGTTAATTTTGATGTTGAGAAATATGAGTAAGTTCTTCAAGGGCATACATCAAATAAAAGGCAAAGATTTAGAAGTTAATCTTTGATTTTTCCAAACGTTTCGACATAGTATTTTATGTCATCATCAGTGGATCTACAGAATGAATATTGAAAAATTAATATAAACTAGGAAAAAATGACAGAAATTGGAAAAAGAACTATAGATATAAGTAATATAATTATAACAATAACAATTATACTTAACAGATAGATAAACAAGAGAAATGAAAAGTAAAAAGAAATATATACAAACATACAAAAGCGTAATATATATACATAAATATACACACAAACAAACATGTATATATGATATTCATGTAAAAACATGTACACATATGCATATATACATACGAATAATACGTATATATAAACATATACATACGGACATGTACATATGTATATATACACACATATACATACATAACATATGTACATGTCCGTATGTATATGTTTATATATATGTATATATGCATATGTGTACGTGTTTTTACATGTATATCATATATACATTTTTGTTTGTGTGTATATTTATGTATATATATTACGCTTTTGTATGTTTGTATATATTTCTTTTTACTTTTCATTTCTCTTGTTTATCTATCTGTTAAGTATAATTGTTATTGTTATAATTATATTACTTATATCTATAGTTTTAAACAAGAAAAGTTTTTAATAAACAATTTCTTTATTTAATTATTTGTTTACTGTCGACGTTTCGGAACTAGGTACGTTCCATCTTCAGGACATCTGTCAAGAAACATGATCTTGATGAGATTTTAGCAAACAATATGTTTAGGAAAAGAAAATAGATTTTTCTTAAATAATAAATTAATTGCAAAAAAATATAATAATGTACAGAAATATGATAATATGATCAAAATGAAAATGATAAAAATGATAAAAATAAAAATAAATGAGTGGATTATCAGAACAGAATATTAAACATAATAGAAATTTTTTGAAAGTTATGGGAAATTTTTTAAGAGAAGGTTAATGACAAAGTTGAATTAATTACCTGTATGTTTGAATATATGTTATTCATTTTTTGTTAAAAAGCTTGTTTAGTGAAAAAGTGCTAACATATATTCAAACATACAGGTAATTAATTCAACTTTGTCATTAACCTTTTCTTAAAAAATTTTCCATAACTTTCAAAAAAAATTCTATTATGTTTAATATCTTGTTCTGATAATCCACTCATTTATTTTTATTTTTATCATTTTCATTTTGATCATATTATCATATTTCTGTACATTATTATATTTTTTTGCAATTAATTTATTATTTAAGAAAAATCTATTTTCTTTTCCTAAACATATTGTTTGCTAAAATCTCATCAAGATCATGTTTCTTGACAAATGTCCTGAAGATGGAACGTACCTAGTTCCGAAACGTCGACAGTAAACAAATAATTAAATAAAGAAATTGTTTATTAAAAACTTTTCTTGTTTTTTTATTTTTTATTATTTTTGGATTCTTGTTTGAAACTACAAAATATATATATATATATATATATATATATGTATACATATATATGCTCTTTTAATAAATTTAGTGGCATAATCTCTATCTATAATTTGCTGAATATGCAGAGGATTCTTTTGCTTTTACTTAAAATGTTAAATGGTAAATGTATGGACAATGGTAAATGTATTTATAATTTATTTTTATTTTACCTTCAGCGAGGGTACAATATCAGCGCAACCATCATTAATAAACTCCGAATCTTTGTCGTCGACATCTCTATTGAAATCACCTTCTTGGTGTGTTCCTCCCAAAACAACAGATTCCATACTAAAAATAATAAGAAACTATATCCGAAATTACAACAAAAGTTATATTGTTTCATACTTTGGTATAATATAATTTCCCACATCGCTATCGTCCAAAACCACTTGGAAAATCCAGGGAGCAAACACCTGAAAAAGTGATATTTTAAAACTCTTAACTCAGTCAATATTAAATTTTCTGAATTGAATAATTTATAAATAGTTTTGATTTATTATGAAGTTTATTATTATTATTTTACGTTTTTCGTCATTTCAAGTCATTCTGAATCGTTTAACACCAAAATTAGGAAAATTCAGCATGAGCGTGCATATGTTCCAAAGTTTTAACTTTCGTCGATGTTTACTCAAAAACAGCTGCAACGATTTCAAGCATTTAAAAGCCATTAAAAACATCGATAAGGAATTGCGTTAATTCGATTTGTTAGACCATCGGCCGAGCCATTTTCTTTGCAATTAGCAAATCGAAAGGGTTAATTGTAAAACAGCATTAAAGTTTGAAATAATGGTTCGCGCCTTTAGTACATATAACGTATATTGGAAATCGCGTTGATTAGTGTGATGCGAACAACAGCTACAAATGTTATCGTCATAATTTAAAAGTTGCTAAATCTTTACTGTTATTGATTATTGACACACACACATATATATATATATATATATATATATATATATATATATGGAAGTTAATGCAAATTCCGAGTCAACTTACGTCTAGTTTAATTAGCAACTTACCCTGGATACTTGTCCTCTTATAGGATGTACGCTTTCATCTTTGGCAAGTTTTTTAGCTCCTATTCCTGTACAGTTAACAATCAAATCGAACATTGACAAATCTTGAAAGTTTGAAATTTTTTTTCGAATTATATGTCCGCCGTTGTCTTCAAATATTTTCATTAAATACGGCAGAAACTTTGTTGGTTCTAACGAGAATGATACGAAGTGATGACCACCTCTGTTGAATATAATTGTTGTATATATGTAATACTTATATTATGCATATATATTTACTACTATTGATAGCTTTATATAAAAACGCAAAACATTCACAATATTTGATTACATACGTATATTTCCTTGAATGCTCTGAACTTAAATCTTCCAATTGTTTTTCACTTAATTGGTGACAACCATATACTATGTGACACCATTCAGGTGCAGGATAACCTTGAGGTTCTGTCGTCAGGCGATAAACTGGCATGAGGCATATTCCAGCCTTTTCAGCATGGCCTTTCAGCCAGAGCTCCTTGCATAAAATGTGAGTAGCATTTGACCAGCGACTGGATAATAAGAAAAAGTGAGAAAGGTTGAATCTATGAAATGTTGTGAATTCAAACTAACTTGATGTCCTCAGCTGGAGTTCTGCCACATAGAAATGGACCCCATAACCCTGCAGATCCATCACCAGTGGTATCAGGGGTCAATATGTCTGATATTAACACAACATTTGATGGATGATTTAATTCGTTTTGTAGTCTGATTGCTGATGTTAGACCTATGACTCCAGCTCCTATTACGACTATGTTTAATTTATTCGGTTTTTTGAACATATTTTTATTCTGTATTTACTTTCATAAAAAATGTTGGGCGTGTTACCTATTATGCAAACTGGAGTAGAATATATAAAAAATAAAAAAATATTCATATAATCAATAATGATAGATAAAGAAACGAACGATGACGATAAACTTATTCAACTGTGTCCCCCCATGACTGATTGCAGATTACATCATTTACAGATTACTATAAATAATAATAATTTTTATTCAGCCCTTTATTTTTTTCTTCAGTTCAAATGGCTTTTTATTGTTTCTTAATATTGTCAGTATTATTAACTTCCCTAAGGAGAAGTTTATGTTTTCAACAAAAAATGCTAATTTTATGTTTTCTCCACGTTTTAAGCCATTCTGAATCGAATTTGGAAAAAATATTTGTGAGCGTGTAGACAGATTTTTTGCCTTAAACCAACGTTTTCTCAAAAACAGCTCGACAGATTTTTTATTATAATTAATCTTTAATTTTGATCAAATTTTTCAGTTTCCTTTTTTCGTTTTAAAATCATAAACTTCTATACAATTAATTACACACTGTTTAATAAGGTGGACGGCAATGATTGAAATGTCTATTATATTGACGAAAATTTCCAATACAATTGCAGGAAGATTCTAAAAATTCAAAACAATTTATTCCAAAGTAATTTTAAATATACATTTAATACTAAGCATTTACATTTAAAAATGTTGACCTTAAAATATTTGCAAAATTCTGTTTTATAATGTTGAGTTTTATTAGTATATTAATGAAGTTATTTTATATTCGTTATTCTTAGACAGTTATTCAAATTTAATTAATTTTTATAAACCTGATTTGAACACTTAAACTCATAATTTTATTTTCCTATTTTTCTATCTTATTGATACTTGAATAAAATCCAAATAATTTTGCGTTCAGACCGCAACTTTTATTATATATCGAGTAAATTGCTAATCAAATACTGATTTGTTCTGAGCTGATGATCGTATTTTTTCGAACATTAACACATTGATAATATAATTTGAGAATAAATCTTTCTATCGTACATTTTATCATCAGGTCAATCAGGTCAGACAACGCACACACACACACACATATATATATATATATATATATATATATATATATATATGTATATGTATATATATATATATATATATATATATATATATACATATATCTTGATAGTTTTTTCGACGTTGAAACATATTTCAAAGTAACATATATATATATATATATATATATATGAAAAGGGACATATTTTAGGTGAAAGCTAAGGTTATTAGAATTTTCTTGAATAAAATGTGGAGAAAATTACATTATAATGTAATTTTCTATATACATAACTATAGTTATGATACAAAATAGAAACACTTTGAATATAATTTATAACTAATTGAAGTATTGTAGAAGTGTAAATGTTCTAACATAAAAAATAACTAGTTGTCATATTGCTTCCAGGAAAGTTGCATTAACTTTCCTTGAAAATAATCAGCTAAATCAATAAGAAATATATCTATTATTTTACGAGATAAGTATTAGATGCAAAATAGCAACACTTTGATAATAAAATGTTTAACTAAATGAAGTATTGTATGACAATTGATGACAGTTAGCAACATCTTATTCAATTCAAACATGGAATACAAATAATTTAAATATTATTAATTACTTAAACAAAAAGCGATCTTGACCATAAAATAGTTGTATCAAATCAAAGTGGTGTTTTATTTTATGCATTTTTTGTCTGTAGTTTCATTGACTGCGAATTTTTATATCCACATTTCATTATATAAGTAATTTAACTCGTATAATTACATATTGTTAAAAACCTAATAAAATTGTCTGCAAACCGGTATATAATGTTTAATGACTTTCTTAACAATATTTATTTTTAAACAAAATTAAATAATGAAGTTTTGTGAAATTTAATTAGGTGTGCAATAAGTAGGTACTGATAATATTACATTGCAAAGCCCCTAAACAATCTTTTACATAACAAATTGTATTGTATCAGTTACAAGTCAAAAAACGCATTTTTGTGAACTAATATGTAATAATATATAAAAATTTTATCAATTACTTTAGATAAATAACGCAAATTTGACAAAGAGTTCCTTTATATGTCGATTGTAATTTTACGTTGCACTTTGCCGACAGACAGAAGCCCCGACAACATAATAATAGTGGAGGTTCTTTCGGAAGCCGATCGGTCATTATGCAATACTGCGGACAGAGAAGGACAATGATATCATGTGCGAGTGCGCTCGAGTACTATTTCGCACTCTATTCCACGCATAGGATTAATGCGCAAGACAAGGAGAAAGATATGATGCGCAGGCACCGGCACGCGTGTCGAGCGGTGGGGATTGGCGTGCATCGACAGCATCGACAGCACTTGGCCTGCGGGAGGATTTTATTTCGATTTCGACTGCTGCGGTGTACGGCTAGAAGGGTCTCGGCGAAGTGGACTCGACCGGATTGTTTCGTAAGTTCAACATAGTTACGAATTGAATTCGGTTTAATAGTGCGATAATTTTATATTAATTTCAAGGGTTTGTAATTGTGCCCTTATCAAGTGATTTTTTTTTCAAATAAGTTTTTGATTTTCGGTATGTAGTTCAGTATGTTCAGTGAGTGAATTGAATTCTGTATCGAAGCTGCGATTCCGATAACCGATTACGTTTAGTACATATTGAGGTAACTATGAATTTATATCGAAATGCAATATTTTTAAACAATAAAATCGTTTCACGCCTATCTAATGATAATGATTTCTATTGCAGTTACAACAATTTGGTAGTCCAGACAAGATGTTGCAGTCCATTTCACAGGAGAAATTAAAATTGATGCAGTCTAATTTACATGAGGAATTGAACCTAATGCAATACAGTTTACAGGAGAAAAGGTCAGTGGTACATATTTTTTGTATTAATTTCAGGGTTTTCAAGTTGATTTCGTAATACGTAGAACTTGGAGGTTTATTTTCAGTTTTGATCATTTTGGCTTTTCTTCTACGAAATGAATTGATTGCATGGACGCAGTTACTGCGGCGTCCGAGTACATGTTGATTTATATATCACTAGAATTTTCTGAAATATTTGAAATCATCTATCCATTTAAACTTTCAAATATTAGTTTAAAGTATACTGAGTTGCTTGTTAGATTTTATTACTAATAGTTTTGACTTGCAAAACAAGTTATATTTTTTAAAAAAATTGCGCTTGGATTTGTAGCATAATAGAAGATGACGTAGTCTTTTCTTGTTTTGTTAAATAATTTCAGTCATATTATAATGTATTACTTTTGGGTGCATTAGAATGATTCCTTTTAACTACGTAGAAAACCAAAATGATAATGAAATTTTTGCAATTGAACTACGTGCCCTCGCACGATATCATTATAGGTAGATGTTTTGTTATCTCCTATTCAAATAAGACTCTCACATTCAATTATATAACAGTAATTGAAACTGTATTAAGTACAGTCCATAGCGTTGAAATCTTATAATTTACTCGAATGTTGATTTTTTTGTAGCCAAAAATCAGTCAAATGATCGTTTTATTTTTTATTAAAAACGATCAATCAAAACTAATACCACAGCTTGGTATTCTTGAAACTGCGCTAAATGCTCATTATTTTTTTTTTATCTTTGTCAGATTTATAAACCATTTTGTTCACCAAAGACTTGTGTTCAATAAATTGCGACGCGTGTTATTGCTAGTAAAATTATGAAATTAGAATTAAAAACTTGGAATTTTTAATTCGAAATTACAGTAGGTTCTTGAATTTTTTGTTTAGTAAAGTATCAAATTTATACAAGTAATCGCGCAATCGATGAGATAAGATTGCATAAATTTGTATTCTATTGTATTGAATTCAAATAATCGAATATTAGATTTTTAATCTTTAAACAGTTATGAGGTGGTAAGCAAAACCATTATGTAATTGATTAATCAAAACTTCAGCAAATGATATAGGATTTTCATTTTTATATTTGATCTACAGATTATATGTACGTAATTATTTTGTAATTTTTCAAAATTACAAATATATATTTTCATGCAAATACATTTAAATATCAACAAATTAATCGCAAGGATTACGTTTTTTGCATTGTGGATTTAAAGTATACCAAATAGTATTTATATAACCAGTTGCAATTAAATATATAATCAAATCCAATATTAATTGCTAATTACCAAGTCAATAGATTGACTAAATAATTATTTTACAAAAATTAAGTTGGTCATGTTGTGTAGAAAATATCTGCGTATATTTCAGCATTTTATAATTAACTCAATTGCTATTTTATTATTTTAATGCCTATATATAGACCTATATATATTATATATGCATTTGCAATAATTCGTTTTACAAAACTTCACTTTAAATGCAGAATATTTGAAATGATACATAATTCCATATCTGTAGATACTAATCTGTCCAAATTTTTAAAGAAAATCAAACAAAAGAACCGGTTTCATATATTTATATTAAATTCAGCATTTACAGTCCGATTACAATACATCACATTTTATGCAATCAGTCTTTATTAAATGCACGTAAATTATTTGTGTATATTTGTAGTAATTATTAAATAAATTATATGAATGTGAATATGATTAATTGATGGAACTTATCATTTATACAATAATTATTCAAAATGTTTCATGTTTTGACGATAATGCTTTTCATGACGAACGAAATTTAATTTTACAATAATTTATTTTATTAAATTTTTATATAAAAGTAGTTGAAATTTTAGTATCGTTTTAAAAATTAGTTTATTATTGAACAATTTTACGAAACATCTGATCATGCTTAAATATTATTAGCAGTAGTGTGATTTGATTGATAAATTTGAAAATAAAATTTGCAGTTTTTATGTAAATAGTTTATAAAATGGCTACTATTTTCAATTATTTGATAGTCGATTTACTATTAGAAAAAGATTAGATATAGCTATTAGAAAACGTGCAGGTAATTTTATTTTGTGAAAATTTTATCAAATTAATTTTTGTATTCCAACCTAAATCTATAGTTTTACTAGCAACAATATGGTAAATAGAAATGTGGTAATTTCACACAAGTCTTTAGCACTTAATGAAAAATTAAGAAACAATTGAAATGAGCTAATAATGAAAATTAAATTATATATTTGACAATTTATTCATCAATTATTTTCTCAGCAAATAAAATAGGTAATGTGCACATCAATTACATTACAAATTTAATTGATTATAAAATATAGCCATGAAAATAATCATCATTTTCATCATATATTTTATGATTGATTTGTAAATTATTTATTACAGTAAATAAAATAAAGCAATAATTACATTAAAAAAAATTATTTGCAAGTTGTATCTTTGAACGTTTACTAGAATGTCCATTAACTTTCAAATTCATAACTTATCAATAAGTTGATTTATTCATAATTTTTAATTATTTAATTAGAGGTAATTTCGATTATGATCTTGCATTTCTCATATGGTTTTTAAATTATCATATACGATTTTGAAATTATCATAATCTCTTACATTGGTTTGGATAAATTTGTTTTTTTAAAAATTGATTAAAATTTTGCAATTTTCGTATGTGTTACTATGGTTTTTAATTGATTTCAATTGAGATTATGTAATTTTTATTTTTGATAAATTTCAATTATCCTGCAATGTATTTATTCAAATAAATTTTAAATAATTAAAATATTGTTCTGTAATTATCAAATTTTGTTTTTAATTTCAATGACTTCGCATATTTTCATGAGTTTCAATGTACATTTTAACTTGAATTAGATTCTTGCATTTTCCTAATTCCTATTAATTCATTTTAATGATATTGCAGTTTATATAAGTTTTAATATGGATTTTAGTTGATTTCAGTTATGTTTTTGCAATTCCATCTATCACGACATTTTCGTTATTTTTAAGTAATTTCAATGGCCTTGCAACTTTCACAATTTTAATTAAGGTTTATAAATAATTTAAATCGGGAACTTTTTATTTGGTTTTAACTAATTTCAATTTTTCTGAAATTTTCATGTAATTAAGTTCAAAGATCTTATAATTTTCATTAGTTTTAAATAGCATCTTGCATTTTTATATGGTTTTAAATTTTATTTATGGTTTTACAATTGTCATGATCTCATAGTTTGAATAGATTCGATTTTTGATAAATTTCGATTAAAATTTTGCAATTTTCATTTGTTTTTATTTAGTTTCCATGGTCCTGCAATTACAAGTTTTTAAATAAATTTAAAATAATTAAATTATGGTCTCATGACTCTAAAAAAAATTCTGTTATTTTCGCTTCATTAATTAGAATTGTTACATGATTTTTATTTATATTTTAATGATCTTGCAATTTTCATAATTGTATTGTTTTTACTTGATTTCAATTAGGATTTTGCAATTTTTATAATTATCGATTAATTAATTTTAATGATTTTGCGGTTTTCCATATAATTTGACTTTGAATTATCAGTTGAATTAACATCTTGCCATTGTTAGAATTTTTAACTAATTCTAATAATGCAATTTGCATATTTTTTATTCAGGTTTATAATTATAGCTTTAATTGGAATCTTGAATTTTTTTTTATTTTCGTTATTTTTAAGTAATTTCAATGGCCTTGCAACTTTCACAATTTTAATTAAGGTTTATAAATAATTTAAATCGGAAACTTTTTATTTGGTTTTAACTAATTTCAATTTTTCTGAAATTTTCATGTAATTAAGTTCAAAAATCTTATAATTTTCATTAGTTTTAAATAGCATCTTGCATTTTTATATGGTTTTAAATTTTATTTATGGTTTTACAATTGTCATGATCTCATAGTTTGAATAGATTCGATTTTTGATAAATTTCGATTAAAATTTTGCAATTTTCATTTGTTTTTATTTAGTTTCCATGGTCCTGCAATTACAAGTTTTTAAATAAATTTAAAATAATTAAATTATGGTCTCATGACTCTAAAAAAATTCTGTTATTTTCGCTTCATTAATTAGAATTGTTACATGATTTTTATTTATATTTTAATGATCTTGCAATTTTCATAATTGTATTGTTTTTACTTGATTTCAATTAGGATTTTGCAATTTTTATAATTTTCGATTAATTAATTTTAATGATTTTGCGGTTTTCCATATAATTTGACTTTGAATTATCAGTTGAATTAACATCTTGCCATTGTTAGAATTTTTAACTAATTCTAATAATGCAATTTGCATATTTTTTATTCAGGTTTATAATTATAGTTTCAATTGGAATCTTGAATTTTTTTTTTATTTTCAATGATAGGTTATTGCAATTCTTATAATTTTTTAGTTTCTTTAATTTCGATCATTCTGCAATGTTTATTTGTATTTATTAGTATAAAAGATCATTAGATTTTCATAAATTTGATTGAATTAATTTTAATTTTAATGACTTTAGTTTTTGGTCTGAAATTTGGTCCGCCATTTGCAATTTATTCATTTTAATTAGATTTCTAATTGATTTCAATTAGGATATCAGTTTGCAAAATTTTTGCAAAAATTTTGCAATTTGCATATAAATAAGGTTTTTAATCGATTTTAATTATTGATTTTTATTTCTTATGACGTTTAATCAATTTTAATTGGGAAGTTGCAATATTCATGTTAATTAATTTCAAATGTTTAAATTTCAATTCAATTTAGTTCAATTTAAATTAATTCAATTTAAATGCAGAATATTTGAATTGTTACATAATTCCGTATCTGTAGATTAAAATCCGTCGGAATTTATAAAGCAAATTCAACACAAGAACCGGTTTCATACATTTATATTAAATTCAGCATTTACAGACCGATCACAATACATCACATTTTATGCAATCAATGTTTATCAAATGAACGTAAAATATTTGTGTATACTCATAGTG